CACACTTTTTAAGTACGTTCACAAATCACGTTTAAAACTTGAAAACTTTTGCTTCAATTAGCTGCAAACGTCGCGCCGTAAAAACGGGATAAAAAAGAAACGGTCGCGAATGTGGCGTAAAGAAAAGTCACATTGTACCGCGTGTGTGTACATAATTTGCGTACCACATATGGATCGTAAATTTGCCGGTACGCTAAGCAATGAAAATGGTTCGGCCAATCCTGAACAACAGCGAAAACTACGCGGAAAAAAATAAACGATCAGCATATTCAATACATGTTGACGTAATTGTACAGCATGCGCTAGTCCAGATCAAGATTTTTGTTATTACTTTAGATTAAGATTTGAAAGTTTCGACAAAAAGTAATACACCTAGTCTTTAGCGCAGGTTGAGGCTTTCATAAGATTGGATAATATTGAAATTAATAAAATATTACAACGTGTGATGTTTTTAATAACAAGGTGTCTTTTTCAACCCTAAAAACATTAAACGCTATAATTTGAACTGTTGAAAAAGATCCTTTTGTTTATAGCTTATTCGAGTATTTTTCCAAACCATGGCCACTGATCATTTTCCCCTCATTGGGTCCGTTATTTTTTGCATAGGGATTATAAAAACTCGTACACGTTCGCTAAACGAATCGATTAAAATCAATTTATTGTATACACTAAGCTTATACACTTTTCTACGTGTGTATTTTATCTATGGGATGTATCTAACCTATACCTTACGGGGAACTCGAAGTTCTATTCAAAATGAAAGTCAATAAATCAGAGAGGCATGTACATACATACGTATGTGTGAATACACATGTGTACACGCTTACGGAGGGCGCAAAACGACCCGAAGAACAATATAATGTTAGACAAAATGTCGAATAGGGAAAAGACCGGAACTACTATTCGAGAATCCGGCATTTACTACGCATCCACCGGAGATTTTTTTTTTTAGCTTTTTTGTCTTTTTTTTTTTTGTAATAAAACATTTTAAAGTATACATACGCTTACACACACACATACGTACACAACCATATATATATATACATTTATAAAATGAGCAACAATTTTTGCTGGAAATGTAATCGAGTAACTGTGTAAATTTTTAGTTTATATATTTCTTAGACAAATTATCTGGAGAAAAAAAATAGTAGAATAGAGATTACGAAAAAAATAAAATTAGTTATTTAGTTATTTATTAATAATCCGATTAATGATATGTGACGATATCACAATCACACCGATTACTTGCAAGCTAGGAGCGGAATGATTGAGATTAAGTTCTAGAAAAGTATATTTCAAAAAATAATTTTGTAAGAGCAATCTTATGACCAAAAGAAGTCTTTGGGTAGTTTACGCGTAATACTCGTATATTACTACAATCGAGATAATATTATAATGATATACTGGTATGATAAAAATTTGCTGATATACGCGAAATAAAAAAAAACTGTTGGGCCTGCAGGCATTAGGTAACGTATGAGGAGAGATTGAATCGCACGAGTTCCACGATGGTCGCATCCACTGCAGCAGCGAATGGTCGAAAACGACCAAAGACGGGTGCGCGTGTACACAAGCCAGACTTTTGGGAAGTAAAAAAAAAAAAATTCGCCGCGGTCTGTTGATTTTCTCCAGAGGAAGACTCTTCGCGCAGAGAGGCAGATGCAGAATCGGCAATCGTGACTGCGACGGCGGGATAATGAGAGGGTGGGATGAGGGATAAAACCAACAAAAGTACAACGGAGAGAAAAAAACGAAACAAAACAAAGCGAACAGAAAACGGGGGGGAAAAAAAACGGACGACGACGGCGCGCAACAACAGCGAAAGTCCATAAAAGTAAGTTTCGGTCGGCTCCGGAGTCTCTATATGTGCATATCTCGCGCGAGGCCGTGTGTACGCGACCGACGTGACGTAGACCGCGCCCGGAGAACGGCGGGCCGGCCGGCCGGAACCGACGACGACGTAGACCGGATGGGGCGTATAAAAAGGTCTTGTTTCCGGTGCCAGTTTGACCATTTGACACCCCTCGGCAGAGACGGTGGCGTAAGGGGGTGTATTTATATATATATATATGTGTGTAGACGGAAGAGTACACACGCGCAAATTCGTACATATAACGCGACAAAGCCTCCTCTTCTTCCTCGTCGTAGATTTCGTTGGATGCTCCGAGTTCCGGTCTCGTCGTCGGACCTCGTCGTCGTCGTCATCGCCGTCATCGTCGTCGTCGTCGTCGCAGTTGTTGTTTTCTGCCGCAGTGCTTGCGGCGGAAAAAGATCCGGCGTGGTCCGCACGCACAGGACCATCTCGCGCGCGCTAGATTACGTAGTTGAATTATCGTGCGGAAAACAGTTGTTTTTCCTTCTCCCCGTACCCGTATAACTACGTTTGTTTTCCCTTTGCCCACCCTTACACTTCCCGTGAACGTATAATAAATGTGTCCGCAGCGCATTTTGTATTGTTACAGCTCGTCGCCGCGCCCGAACGCTACTGGACGCGTCTCGTAAAAAGAAAAGAAGAACGCTTGTTTTATTATCGCCGAAGATGTGACTGGCGTAACCAGCTGAAGACAAAAAATATATACGTTATATACGTCCAACAAATACCGTTAAAATTTATGTACGAGTATGCGGACCATGCGGAGATTTGATTGCGCTCATTTCGCTCGTGCGAAATGTTTTATCGTATAAAACAAAATTTGATTTTTTGTAGGTAGGCCGTTCTGGTTCTATGCGTCTCATATTTAGTACAATATAAAAATTATTTAGATCAATGGATTAACGATTTCTTTATGTTTGAAATGTCCTTTTTTTATACATTCATTTTATTTGATATATAACAAAGTGTTTTATAATATTACAGACATCGACCACTTTTGTTATTTTAATTTTATACGTATTTTATATTATAGTTACACCTACTCCATTCGGAACATGTGTATAATGTGTACAATTATATATATATATATGTATATGTTACATTTGCCAGACGAAAAGCAATAATATAAATAAAAAACGCGTAGGATAGTTTATAAAAAATTGTTTTTATATTTTTATACCGTATGCGGTTATTTTAAAGACGAGAGCTCGTTACATATTACATCGTACATACGCGTATTATGTTTTCTCGGAAGACTCGGAGATTGTGCCCCGACTGCGTGACGAACGTATGAACCAAATTGTGGTTACGAAATTAACACTAAGGAATTTACAATCGTTTCGATTGACTACGAAATACGTTATACCTAGAGTAGTGTGCTGAACTCACGGAAACCGAAGTGAAGATTGTGTTAATAAATTATTGTTGTGAAAAAATACGCAATTTTATAATAGTAATAATAGCAATAACAGCATTTATAATGCGCACTTGAATTATACAATTCACGTGATTGCTCTTAAATCATAATATTTCTATACTCGTATTATAACTACACACGTTCCCGTATTGCGTACGCTTCACGCGCAGGGAAAATAAGACGTAAATCAATATGTATGTGACTTGTTTTCGCGTACAACCGACCGGTATATTATAACGTTGCGCTTGCACTCGTACACCTTAATGTTTATAAATTTATACGAATACCAACGAACACACGCGTGTGTAGTGTATTAAAATATGTTAAAATTGCGTGCTTCCTTTACTCCTTTGTCGAATGGAAATCCGAAGCGCAGCGCGAAGATTAATGTTACTATAGAGAAATTAATTTTTGCCGATCCGAAAGACGAAAAATGTTTTTTCTCCGCACAAAACGCAATTAAATTCCGTTTCTGGATAATATCTATACAGTCCCATAGAACGCTCGTATGTGCATGTCTATATATAGAATATTGATACCCACAAACATACACATACACACATTTATATTTTTATACACTGAAACATATACATGTTAATCTAACGTACTAACTTTACTACCCAAAAATCAACGATGAAAATTTCGTTAGGAGCATATATTATCAGAGCTTCAAATTGGTTTGATATATTAAAATACAATAATATTAATTTTTAAACAAATAGGTTTGAACTACAAAACAATTTGGTTTATTTTACTGTAAATAATATATCAACCACGTTAAAAATAAATAGTTGAAGAAATAAAATTATGCGATTAGTGTTTGATGTTGAATTATCTATCTATCAGGTTTCATCACTGCAGATAACTTGAATACTTTGAAATTCTTAACAATACTAATTTTAGGAGTTGTTTCAATATTACAAGTTAACTTTTTTTTTATTATTTTTTTATTGTGTTTTTGTATTTATTGTCCCTCTTTATTAAAACATTAAAACATGGCTAAGTTATAATTTAAAGTTCAAAAATGATATGAGAATAATATTTTCACTGCCAAAATTTGCTATAGTAATATGCAAAATCAAAGTAGAATGCATATTGTAAATGTATCACAAAAGCATATACGAGTATATATATATCAAATATAACAACACGACATGCATACGTTATTGAATTTAATTAGTTTATGCTGTTAAAAACAATGCAACCAAAGTTCTACGAAACAAATGTGTTCCAATATAGAATTTTATAATAAAATAATATTGTAATCGGCTCCTAAATAATAGTTATGTCAACTATACAATTTTGAAACACATCGTACAGGTTACTGTATTGCCTATTCAATGCGCCTTATGTACGAATAAACATTAATGTCATTCTATCAATTCGTTTTATTTTTTTTTTATCCGAAATGTATTTAATAATTTTATTTAACGAACCGTAATGCATGCATTAGAAAAAATAAAAATGTTAGTAAATATATTTTCTAAATTACGAGAAATAAAATAAAAAATAGAAATATACATGCAGTAAGCTTTTAAATAGTTTTTATCACATATTTGAATATTTAAAATTTGTATTCTCAATTTTGAAATTATTATCACATACATATATTTCTATTTTAAATCCATTACATGCTAATAATAAATACGTATTGAACTACAATTATGTAATCATAATATGATAAAAACTCATGCTTTGAAATCATCTCACCTTTTTCATTGTTGTTGTCATATATTCCACTTAAGACTTCTGAAAAAAAAATGTAAAACAAAATCACCCCAGTCACTTATGATAATAACATAAAAAAAGAATAAGGTTTTGTTTACGTTTTCAAGTTAATTTTAACGGGTTTGTTGTTTTAAAATCCAGTTTATATAATTTATATGTACATATTATATTAGTTTATTGCAATATCGTAATATAGCCAGGGAAAAATTATAATGTAAATATATATTATTGTTCAATATTTCTGTTTAGGAATCGTAATTACAATCGTAAAAAAGAAAAATAACAGTATATTTTTATATATCAAATCCAATAATTTTTATTTTGTGGCAAGCGGACTAAACTCATGTATATGATTCTGTCTATCATCACAAGGCTCATAAGGTGGCTATTAAAAATAGAAGAAAAAAATTCGCATGTCAGAAAAATCAACACATACGTTGGGACTAATTGTAAATGCAATTTTTAAAATATTAAACTTTGATTGATAGGTGTTAAGCTAACTATTTAAAAGAATATTTTATAATAATTTTTTGGTAAAATACGTCAACGTAAATAAATTTTTTCTGGTTGAAAAGATAAAAAAAAAGCTTGATAAAAAAAACAATTCAATCCTAGAAACTTATTGCAATATATCATTGAATAGTAACTGTCACTTTGTACATTTTATCACGCCATATTGGTGCTATTCGGTTTTACGTCACACATTTAATTTTTAAAACTATGGTTTCAGATAAAAACTAGTAGAATCATAGGAAATAGCAGATTAATAAACGTAAATTTAATATAATAATATGTTCCTGAAACACGTTTAAGGTTTACATATTACCAATATACATTGTATACAGGAAAAATTGTTATATATTTTGTTCCGTGTTAAAAATAACATTCACTCATAAACACAGTAACGTCTCGCGTAACAGTTCGTAAAATTATTTTTAGATAATAACAAAAGCGCTCGAGTTACATTGGGTAAAAAAAAATGAAGCAATTTAAAAATAAATAAATAAAATAATGTAATAATTAATGTTCCAAACAAATACGAGGGCCCTCTTTGTTATCGCAATAATCGTTACGGGCGCGATCGAGGTGAAAAGTAACTGTAAGAATATTAGAAACGGAAGATGGCAGTTTTTTCCACAGAGATGAATAAAACAATTATTACAGTAAAAAAAAAAAATCAGAATTTCAACGCGTTGCAACGAAAATCGTTTATAAAATAGGGGGGATCAGTGTACAGAGAAAATAGGGAGGAAACGACGAACGGTGCAATCCTCAACTGAAATTGAGACTATTAACATGTCTTGTTTTATTCAATAATATGCGATAAATAAAACACAATATTGTTTTACATAAAATTCTGGGATCAGATCGCTACGAGAAATTACCTCACTCGGAAGATATACATATATACTAAAAAAGCGAATCGGCATCATAATCATTACTGTGTGTCGGAAGAGACATCACAATGTTACCATAGGTTGACAGTGGTAGTATACGAGTATTGTGGTAGTAGTCGGTAGTGTATTAAAAACCTATTTTTTTATAACGAATTAAATTATTAGTTATATTTCGCATGATTATTTGAATTAATTATTTTTTGTGATGATACCTAATACCACAGATTATGCCTATGATTAACTATTAACACGAAATAATATTAACAATTCATAGTAACCACCTTGGTCCTCTTCGGGCACATTACGTTCAGCGCACAACAGGTATGTCAAACACGCCACTCACGGTTAATTTTTTTTTTTTTTTTGGTCCACGGTTAACAAAATTAATGGAAAAAATAAAAAATAAATTGTGAAAATAATTATAAAATATTAATGTCGTGTCGCTACTATCTAAGATTTGTAGAGAATTTTATTGTTTGTATCATATTATTATGTCTTATATTCTGATTAAATGCAATCGAATACGTTTTTGTTGGTTTTTATGTACCTATATAATATATATATATATTTTTTTTTATTACATTTTTTATTTGCAGTCCGCCTGGTATACTATTCAATATATTTGGCCCAGTTGATACTTTGACGTGTCTGGTGTACAAGAAGGGCTCGTCCATTTCTTTGTTATTTCTAGAAGTAACGCTGTGGTTATTTCTATCGTTTAACCTTTCGATCGGGGTGGGCGTACAATCTGGTACTTCATTGGTGGTGTAGAGAGAGAGAATAAAATAGAAATCGAACATTGTAAGACGGGAATAGAGAATATAATTTCGATCTAGGGAAATAGGACCGCGCATATTATACACAACGCAAACGCCACCGTTAACACCACGACGTGATCACCTGGACCGCGAGGAAACACGCTTCGATAACGGCCTCGAGATTTATCTTGGAGAGGTGATTTAGCTTTACACCATGGTGTGGATGCAGACGCTAACGTCCGTTTCGCTACCCATAAAAACGAGAGAAAAAAATAAACCGCCGCCGTTACCGTATCGTATCCACCGCACGTGTAAATGAACTGGCGAAGCCCGTACGTAGGTATTTGGTTTATGCATTAAACGTCGCGTGTTCTTTTTTCTAAAATATTGCCACGACGTCGGTCACGTGTGCATTATATATTTATATATATACACACACACATATGTAAATGTTCTATACGTATACACGATAAAAACAACAGACGTTTAAGTATTTTCGATTTCGAACGACGACGAAGCTGATGATGATGATGATGATGATAAAAGGGATAAAACGTATTAGAGCGGGAAAGCGATTTAACGTATTCACGATCACTGCACACACAACGACTGTGTTTACTATTAACGTAAATGCTATTTTTGACGTCTTAGCCGCTGCCGTGTTGAAGGAAAAATGATTATTGAGGGGTCGTGAACGAGCGCGTAAAGTCAAAAAACTTATAGAGGATATATGCTCAATACGAGTATTAATATAAAAATTATACTTTATTCGCAGTAGTATGGTCTTAAAAATAGGTTCGTTAAAATATTCGATGTTTATCAAAAGAACGCGTAAGACATATCCTACTTGTATACTATTTAATTGGAGATGTGTATAAAATATTTATACTTAGAATTTAAACTTTCCACTGCAATTAGAAAATTGAAAAAGAAAATCTTTGACCGAGTTTTGAGTTTGTTTCTTTATAAAAAAAATATAACATTCATAATAGTTGTTTGTACTCTCCTTTGAGGAGAAACTATAAACGTTTTATCGCTAACTGAATTTTCCACACTATTTGAATGTGATTCCTTCAATGTTTTCATATTAGACCGTCACGTGAACTCAATATTGACTATGGTAGTAGTGTGATCCGTTGCAAAATAATAACTTTTTGTGCGTGCATAATGTATTCGTGTATAAGTGCCACCCAACTAGATTTTCGCGGAATACTGCAATTGCCGTCACCATGCGAGTTAAGTAGTTAGGTGCCAGTTTATATATATATATATATATTTAACTCGTACCTTATGAAAAAATAAAAAACAGGTTTTATTGTACCACGTATATTACTTATACATAATATAAAGAGAATCCTCGCATGGCCCAACACAAATTATCCTTATACCGTGCTGTGATTGATTTTCCGTATCTATTCGACAATTAAAGGTCGAATAATTTAATGATGGCGCACATTATGTAGGAATATCAATATTTTAAACAGTTACTATATGCATAATATTGAAATAAAAAATTAAGCAATTTAAGAACAGTAAAAATGATATTATAGGCATTGCGCCGCGCGACCGATGGTCGCAACTAATTTATTATACATTGTATACCTACCTACGTATTAATTAATGAATATAAATATTCCGGAAAACTGGTATAATAGTTCAAGGAGAATATATAAGAATCTATAAGAATAAACAACACAAGCGAATATTTTGAATATGTTAAATCCTGTTTAAACGTATTTGCTACCTGCTCGATGCTTCAAAATAGAAAATAATGTATATTGTATGTACGTAAACAAGTTTTTTACATTTTTTTTTATTTTTTATTTTTTTCATAATTCAAATGTTTCATCATTTCAGAATATTATAGTACATAGATGTATATAATAAATGTATTGGGCTTATAATATGTACAATATAAAATATATATTAGCGGAATAATAGGAATTCGTGTTTAGCGCAAACGTATTATTCGATCTATTCGCATAATGTACGACGTGTAAGCCGCAAACGCATTGTGCCATAAATACAATACGTATATAACAGTGCCCACTGGATATTAAATTTATTAAATTAATGTACGACTCGAGACATTATATTTATGATTTTATGGTGAATTATATTTCATATGCAAAAAATAAAGAAACGAATATAATAAAAAGTGGATAACAAAGTATATATAGAATACGGAAACAACTTTTTTTTTCAAACTCTTAGTATTACATTATTTAGAGATGCTATCTACTACATAGCGTATTCTGAAAAAAATACTAAATCAAGGTTCCGGATTTATTACACTTATATGCTGGACACGAACAAGCTGCAGTTAGACTTGTAGAATATTTGATTGTTTTCGGCATAATATACAGTTTTAGATAGTATTATTATGAATAACATAATAATGATCTAAAACTGCATAATATATTCCTCGGTTGACTCAATTTTTTTTTTTAAAAAAAAAAAAAAACACAAAATATATTACAATTGTTGAGAAAATATAACAATCTTCCAATGCTGTGTACAGTTATATTATGCGTATACGTAAAGTGCAAACACATGCAAAGCGATTATTAATAATAGTCTATGTATACCTAAAGTATAACATATATTATACGAAAACGCTTGATTAAAATATTGGTAAAAAAAAAAATTGTTTTGTCAAACCAAGTGCATTATTATTTGTTAAACGATTAACTATTTTAATCTCATATAAAATACTAATCAAAATATAATATATTTTATTAATAATAATAAACAAATTTCATAAAATATTATTTTATTATCGTTTAAATACATCAACGAATGTATACGTCGTGATAGTGGTGAATAAACACACCACTTAGCATTTAGATACAGAATATCTTTTATCGTTTACTATTAATTATTCGCCATCCGATGGATGACGAGAAACGATTCGTCTGTGAGACGGTGGTGATAACGGTATTAGCTATGAAAACTAAATAATATTGTTTACACCGATGACAATTGAAAACGAATAAACGAAATGTGTGCAGCAATTTTAGATATTTCAATGTCTGTGCGGCCAGAAGGTCACATACGAATTTATCAAAATACGAACCGAAGTGGTCAACGACCGGCGTGGGATCTAACGTTCGTGACAACCTTATGATATTGTGATTGCACTTTTATACTATTATTATATGTATATGGGTATATGTGTGTGTGTGTGTGTGTGTGTGTGTGTATACATACACACACGAATAAAGACATCATTGTCGTCTTGTCCGCGACAAGAATACAAATTTCAATATTTTTATTTATTTTATTATTTCGTTTCATACCGCGCATGTGGTATATTATTATTATATATTTATGTACTGTATAACATATGTTGTACACACACAAAAACGCGCCATCGCACACATACGCATTGTTTTCAAATATAATTGACGTGTGTGTGACCATGTGTGTGTGTACATATTATTGCCATGGCGGATAACGGACGCGCTGGCAAAATCGCACGGGCAAGTTTTCGCGCCTATACCACTGGATAGGACGAATAACTGAGAATCGCGTCGCGTTTAACGTGTATATTTATATATTTTTGTATATTATACGGTATTATGCAAATGTGTGGAAATTTCGTGCTGAAAGAAAACTGAAAAATATTTACGTATATTATTATTATTATTATTATTATTTTATAATAATCGCGGTGCCTCCCGCGGAACCGTTTTCAAGGGCTCCGCGTCGATCCTAAGTACCCTCTGTTTTTTATTGTCACTAGAGTGAAGCAGCCAAAACGACCTTAACTTGAACTCGTAATGATATCGACCCCTAAAAATATATACTTAGCGTCGTACACCTATGGCGGTTTTTATATATTTTTTTTTAAAGGTCCACCGCGTGGGTGGCGTGGATGTCTGAAGAATATTATACAACGTATACGGGACAAAAGTATGTAAGTCATTACGAAAATGCACTTGGGGTTATTTTTTTCAATGGCTTTTATATTACAGTAATTTATTTGCTAACTAACTGGCAAATGCATTTTCTAAAAAAAAGCTTAAGCCTTTGTGTAGGTCATTTATGAGTTCAATAATTTAAGTACTAATGCCTACACTGCTCTGACCTATTTTGTTTTATTATTGAAATAAACGTACACGAAAAACTAATATTTGATGAACGATAACACTAAAACCGTTTTTAATCGGCTGCAAATAATACGGTGCAACTATTATAAGTTTTGGGAAGCACACGGGCATAAAATACTCCAAAAACACACTGTTAGATTGACGGAAGCCACATATTAAATACAAGTGATCGATTTGAGCATAATATTGGACGACATTCCGTTCCCCATTTTCGACATCGATACCGCATTGTTTTAATTTTAATTTTAAATTGTCTACGATAGTATCGAATAAAAATACAGTGTAGTCTTAATTCAGTTTGAAATCGATTTCTTTCGAATGCACATATTTTTTATCTTACCGTGTAGTATTTGGATACGAGTGTGGGCAAAAAAAAAAAAAAAATACGAAAACTTTGAACTCGTCATACTATATTTGTGACAGATACGATTTGCGGTATTTAAATTGATTACATATGCATGCTCGATTGAGCGATCACATGGAATATATATTGTTAAGATTTTCGTTGAACCCGCGATCACGTACTAACGTCTCGTTGTAAAACAACACGCGCAGTACAGGCTGTTCGGTTCACACACGTCCGCGGTGTTTTATGTGGCGAAATTGAAAACTATTTATTTATCACCATGTCGAGTGGTTTACAATAGCGTACGTATACACGACCGTTCTCACCGATGTCATCGTGCAGAGGTACATATTATTATTAATTTGGATTCATATATTCACTGGAAACCGCAGTAGAACGATTTCTAATCACGTCCCAAACGTATAATATGAGCATCGTCGTCGTGTCATCGGGCGTATTAGAATATTATTATTATTTCGTTTAACGGTGGCGAATTTTTTTTAATTTTTTTTTTCAACCGTTTCAAGTGCGCGACCTATGATGCTCGTTCGTCCGTCCGCCCACTGTCGCCGTGTGTCCTTGCCCTAATTATGAGCCTTGTGAGACAATCGTTTGGACGTGAGTCACACATACACACACACACACACGCGCGCGCGCGCGCGTACAAATAATATATTATACATACATAAGACGCATCGGATACGGACTAGGACTCTTGTGGTTAGTATTCCGAGACCAATCGACCGATCGCCGCGTGGGACTCTGCAGCGTGCAGCACCGAAGAAACTATAATATTTTACATGTATAGGAAAATGACGCGCCCGTCAGAATACTAATGATGTGCATGTGATGTGTGTGTGTTAGTGCTCCGAATCATATTCTGCCTTTTGGCGTGTTCGTCTCCCTGCAACGACGAGCAACCCTTCCTCGGGAAACCTACAGCCAACTTTGTACTTCCACATAAGAATTACGCCAGACGGCTGTCCAGAATCATCCTGAGATCAAAATGTTTAAAAACCCATCTAGCGCACGTTTTATAATCTTATTACATATTCCGAAGGCGATAATCTACGGCGATTATTCCAGGTCATAATTTTTTTTGCAAGTGAAAAGAGGAAATAATAATGTTATTAAATATTATGTTCAAAGTTAAAATACGAATAGTTATTGATATCGTCGAAATCTGAGAAGTGATAAACTGTCAGTTTTTTTTAAAAGACCACTGCTGGGCATTTCCGTATATCGTAGGAATTTACGAGGGCACCGCGAATGTCACGACAATATACCGTTCATCACTGATTATATATAATACACGGTGAAAACTGCCTTAAGGTGGAATCGCGATGAACCAAACAAATATTTCCGTTTTAGATATGTTTCCGACTTGACTAATACAGTTTTTGATTTAAAAAAATACCATAAAATACTTGACCCCTTATTTTCATCCTCGGGATAAGATGATCTCAATGTATTGTATAATATTTTACTTTGTACTGTATATATTATTATAATCGTAAATACGCTTACCGTGGCTATTGATGTAATTGGCTAAATACAGGTCTAACTCGCGGACGGACACGTTGATGTGGTAAGGGTTCACGCACAGACTGGGATGTGTACATTCCGGTGACTTTTCCAACCGTTCTCCGTCCGTGCTCTCGAGTGGTATTGCTTTGAAGAGTATTACCATGACTAGATCCAGTCGCCATACCTAGAACACGATTAGTTTTAACAAAATCATATCCGAATATTTATTTCCTATTTAATTCACAGAAAGTCATTTTTTCACGTTAAAATGCCATGTGATATAAATGTACAGAAATAACGGAACCAAGAGTAGATATTCTAACAACTATAATTTCAGTTTAAATCAATTATAATCTACCCACATAAGTGCTTGTTAAATATCATTATATATCATAGATTTTGAAGTAAATTTTTTCTTAAATTTTTCACTAAAAATAATAATTTGTTTTAATTTAAATAATAAATGGTAATCAATTAAATTTTTGACGCTTTGTAGTTTTCGAAAAATTAAAGAAAAATAGCACAGATTATTTATTTTATTTCCTTGACAATTTAATTATATAATTGATTTCTGATAAACAAATAAAATAATCTATGATTCAACATCTATAATAAAAAATGTAAATCTTCCTTTAGATGTATACTTTCTTTACTTCTTAATGAACTTATTAAACTATTTTTTTTTCATTTATTTTTGTATACTAATTATTTTTTGAGAATTTATAGTTATATTTAAAATATATCAGTTAAAACTTTAACACTTGTGTTTCTATAATCATATGATATTAATATCTAGAGTAGTAAAATACTTTTTAATTTTTTTTTTTTAAGAAAAATTACAATCTACACACAAATTATTAGTACGATAAGTTATTGGGAGACATATACATACATAAATTTTAGTATAATATAAGTATATTTAAAATACTTACGAAATTAAAAATATAATTTAATTAAAAATAAAACTTTAACTTAATAACTAAATTTTTGTTAACATAAATAACTTCTATAGTTTATAATTATTTAGAAAAGTTGTGTAATGCGTTTAAGTTTAATTTGTACGGGAAAAAATGTTTTTTAATAATACTGCAATTGTAAAATGTAATTCATTAAAATAATTGAAGATATTTATATATAAAATATTGTATTGAGTATATATGTTTATTTATTATTATTATTTTTTTTTGTATTTAACATAAAATATTTTAATAAGTTAGTAAGAACCATTAAACAATTTACTAAGCGCATTAATGCATATCAAATCAAATCTTTTCAAGATTTAAAAATAAATAATGTTTATATATATATTCATTTTGTTATTTGATAGAATTTTTTTGAACGGAAAAAAGTTATACGATCTGCATTGAAACATTTGAAATTTGACAGGTTAGTAATACGAAACAAAGTACAACCATCGCAATAACCATAATATGTGCAGCAATCGACAAAGGTCAAATGTTGAAACATTTTGTACAGCAATCATTTCCACATCGCATCCAAAATAGTAAGTCACTAATAGTAAAACAATATTTAAATATAGTTTTCATGTATCATCCACCTTTATGTAGAAATACTTAGTACCCACGGTATATTATATTTTTTTTCCACCGTGAGCGTATGGAGGAGAAAAAAATAGTTGCGTACAGTCTTATGGTCGCGTGGTAGTATTTCCATTCTTATTACCACTAAAAGTACACCAACAAGCTCGGGTTGGTAAAATGAAAATTGTATTTTACAATCAACATTAAAATGCCATGGATAATAAATTTCGATAATTGGATGCGACAGACACCTCATCGGTTCGTAAATTAGCTGACCACCTTCGATGTATTTCCTCCGAAGGCACGCGTGTATACTTATACGCTGCATACACGATTCATTCAAGAACTAAAGAGTATAAGAACGGAGACATTTTTTTTAATACTAAAATTTTTACATTTCAATATAATTAGTCATTGTGTTTTTAAACTGATTACTGTAACACGGTAACAGTAATGAATGTTAGATCTGAAATTAACATTTTATAATGAGATTGGTCACATAAGATTGAGTGTAATGAAACTCAGAAAATGTGTTTCGTTTAAGATTTATAGTGGTTGACGATATTATTTAAATTACAATTTTAATTAACATTTCTTATGAATGTGGTGTGGTGCTAAGATAGTACACAGTATTTTTTACAGTAAAATTTAAATTATAGTTCATTATAAGTTAGACAACGACACAATGTTATGAAAAATTACAACAAGTGATTCACGTGAAAGTTGGAACACACACTATTTTAATTGACCGTAAATATAAGAATATAGAAATGGTATTTTTATAATAAATATAACGCGAAAATAAATTTAATTTTAATTTTTCTATTTCTCTTTTTTTTTTCAAAAAAAATTATGTGTTCGATTTTTAACTCTTCATAATTTGACCTAAAATATGCACATGTAATGCGTGTACGATGTTGTGCGATACACGCGGTTATATTGACAGAAATATCTTTAGTAGTGCGCGATTGTTTTAATCAAAATCGAATTTGCATCGAAAACGTCACCGTAGCATAATAGTTGTGTTCATTTTCCATTTCTTAGAGTTAACATTTCAAACTTCCTGTGTGAATCGGTAGCACGTGCATTCATCTTGCACTAATGATAATATTATACCTCGTACACACCTAGGCCGGTTGCACACGTAGCACTCGGCGCGAGGAACAAATGCAATGAATTCATTACCGGCATAGAGTCGAATCCGTGAATAATATATTATTATGACCGTGTATTGGCATGTATCTGTGCATATATGCACTCGCATGCATATTACAACAAATATATGATATTATGCAGGCAAGACGTGTACGTTTTGTATGCAGCCGGGAGAACCCGGAGTAAGAAAAAAAAAATTATGCAGTACATTACACATAGTACCAGCAGTGGTGCAGTGATCGTGTAAAATAGTATAGTAAGTTAAATATAAGAACGAACAAGGAAGAAAAGTGTACGCTGCTGCAGGACACGGATGAGTCCCTTTTGATTTATAACTCGTGTTATGTCAACGGCCACGAAAGAGGTACATAAAACCTAAAATGTCACACGTTGTTGAAGACTTGTTTTCACGAAGTAATGCGACCTAGGCAAGTTTCGAACACGACTCCGCGTGTATAGAATATTTGACGCGAGAGGAACACGATGTATACATATATAATATATAGACACATCAAAGACCGCAATACCGCGATTTATTACCGTATCCGAATTATATACAACCTATCTTCGTCCATCAGTCATTAAAACATTGCATAAATATTTTTGAACAAGGCGTACCGTAATATAATAATTTTGGTGAATCATTAAATCCGTACTGTGTCCGTATAATAACAACAACCGTAAGACAAGGGATCCTATTATCCTTCAAACAAAGTTTCATATTATAATATCGGGTGCATTTCATATACGTACGACATGATCATTATTATTCGGTGACTACACTCTCACATTTGACTAGAAATATTTCGATTTGTTATTAGTATTATTTGAATAGTTGTATAATAATATGTAAATCTAATAAAGCAAATCATCTTATTGATATTTTTGTCAGTTTCACGATTATCAATACAAGTGTCAACAGTGGTTTATAACTAAACAATATGTGTATTAAAATTTATTGAAACGCAGTGTAACGAGTTTGGCAAGTTACATGAACTTGACATTATACAGATACAAATAAGGACAGCTTTAAATGCTAAGAAATAAAATCACCAAAAATGTATCAATGACGTCCATGACACGATTGAACCTACCATTATATATTTACTATAAATTAAAGATTTATTAATGAGAACTAATAATGTTATAATACGTAAAAATCGATTAATTGGATTTTAGATGACTGACAGTAAGAAAATAAACGTATGAGTATCCCCGTTCTGTAATAATAATAGTTATTTATTTATAATTTAAATAATTCCATTATTTTATGGTGCTACAAGGTTAATGCGCACGCAATTCAGTATTTTTTAATTTTTAATTAAGTACTGAGATTACTTATGGCTGTCAAAATTGAATGCTATTGCAATATTATCGAATATTTATTTGATTATAATCACTTGAATAATATACACACTCAACCACACGGCATTATTTTAAAACTCAGGAAATATTGGGATGAAATTTAATATTTTGACTACCTGTAAGTAATGAGAATATTTTCTCATGTGATTTTTACAGTAATAACATAGCCAAGCTAATCGATACATGATAAACTAAATACTACGAGTACATTGCTACTGAACGCAAAATATGATTTATATTATCTGTGTGGGGTTTAAATTGTCATTTCGAAAGAAATTTATCAATCGGAAAATTTTAATTTTAATAAATCTTCGTTCTTTTACCATTTATGAGAATATTAACATAGATTCTTAAAATATCATCAATCTGATTTTAGTTAATCAAGAATCACATATTGTTATAATTGAATTATTCCGGTTCGAAGTAGTCATCTATTGTTCAATGATGACCCTAGACTCTATTATAAGGGAGGAGGAAGACATTATACACTTCTCTGGTAGAATAAAGTATAATAGTAAAAAGTATAACTTTTTAAAACTGGAGCTTTATATTATTTTTCAGTTGCATTTTCCTAGTGTATACATTTTGGTTAACCTAATAAATTTTCTCGAATATGGAGCGGCATATGGAAGTGAAGAAGAGCGGATGAATATTATAATATTGTATTCCTTTGTTTAGTGCTATTGTTAAAATGTTGTACAGCGTGTAACGGTTAAGATTTTTTTTTTTCTATTATCACACTCATTGAAGAAATACACCTATATAATGCAATGGTAGTATTTTGTTTCTTATTGTGACGAATCTCTTACATAATTTTTCAATAAAAATCTTAAATGCACCACTGTAACAAACACGGAACCAATATCTGTGTATAAGTACGCGTCGTTATGTACATTATTTTGTTGAGATATAATGAATATAGTAATATAATATGTACGAGTATACGTTTAGTTATAGGCTAATACGACGATATCATGCAGCTGGCGCATAGTTCTTGGGTCACAAACGCGTGTGTGAGAACGGAACCTGTCTGCACGTGAACCGAATACGGACAAGCGTCAACGAGGAAGAAAAAACGACGACAACGACGTGGGGGAAAGACTCGCCAACGGTATTAATCGAT